CCTGGGCGTCCTCTTCTGTCCACTCCCGGATGGCACCGCCGACATGCACATCGTCATCAACGGCGAGGACATGGGCCCAAGCGCGAAAGGGCTACCAGCTGCCCAACCCCTCTACGCGGTGGTGGACGTGTTTGCCTCCACCAAGAGCGTGCGCCTGGTCCAGCTCGAGTATGGCTGTAGGTATCCCGCCCCGTGGGCAGCGACCCCACCTGGCCCAGTGTGGGGACAGGAACCTGCTAGGACTCCCTAAGCAGCTAGATAGGCCTTGGTCTGTCCAGCACTAGTTTAGAAGTGGAAGAATCTGGTTTCAATTTGCCCCTCTGCCTGTGATCTTGCACAAGTCACTACCCAGCTCTGGGCCTTAGTCTACCCACCTTAGCTGATTAAGATGCCCTACAAGTTCTCTCTTCATTTTGACAATGTTTTCTGTATTATCCTAGGGCAGGGATTTTAAGTCAATTTTAGATTGGGCCTCTTTGAGAACTGTATACTCTTTATACTTGATCTTAACCAAAAGGCCGAGAAGCGATTTTTTCTTTTTTGAGACAGAGTCTCACTCTGTTGCCTGGGCTGGAGTGCCATGGCATCAGCCTAGCTCACAGCAACCTCAAACTCCTGGGCTCAAGTGATCCTCCTGCCTCAGCCTCCCAGAGTGCTAGGATTACAGGTGTGAGCCACTGTGCCCAGCTTTTGTGTGCTCTTTCATTAGAAAAATGCTCATAGATTTGGGCATACCAATTTAGAGGCATCACAGACCCCAGACTGAGAGCTTCTTAATTCTGAGGTCTGGTTCATTATAGCCCGTTTAAGCATTTTATTTATAACTCTGCTCATGTTTCATGAATTCAATGAACTGGAACCCACTCTGCCAGGCCTGTGCTGCAGGCTGTGGTCAACACAGGCAAATCAGACATTAACCTTCCCCCCAGAAGCCAAGTGAAAGGAGAAGGGGTTATGCTGAGTGTTAAGACAGAAACGGGGTTGTGGCACTGTGATAGTTCTCAGGAGAGCTGCTTATTTCAGCCACATGAACGGCCCCATGAAGCAGGCTGGGCCCAGAGGGCAAAAAGGACTTGCCCACGTTAATGGGCAAGACCTCGATCTTCCGGGCCTCGGCCTCAGATCCACTCTCCTGTTCTGTTTGCCTTTGACAACCGTCTTCCCACAGTGCCGTCCCTGCAGACTCTGTGCCGCCTAGTGATCCAGAGGAGTGTGGTGCACCGGCTGGCCATTGATGGACTCCACCTGCCCAAAGGACTTAAGGATTTCTGCAAGTACGAGTGAAGGCCTGCAGCCCCCTGGAGCCGGGCCACAGGAGCGCATCCTGGCCCCAGAGCCGTGGCTGGTCTGAAGCTGGCCACACTGCTGCCAGGCAGGGCCAGAAATAAACACGGCTAATGCTGACACTCTGATCATTGGAGGGTCTCCTTGCCCCTACAGCCTGTGAGAGGCACTTGTTTTAGAATCACTCTGGGTCAGCAGGTGAGAGCATTTTAGATGTCATCTAGACCAGTGGTCCCTGGCTACTCGTCAGAGTCACTGGGATACAGAGGGCTGATGTCTCACACCCCATCTCTAGAGATTCTCATCTGATTTGTTAGGGGATTAGGCCTAGACGTTTTTTGTGAAAACTCCCTGGAGATTCTAATGTACAGCCAGCATTGAGAAGCATTTTCCTAGAATAGCGGTTCCAACTTTGGCACATATTATAGTCACTGGAGGAACTTTGAAAAATACTGACATCTGGGCCTGACCCTGGGCCTCACGCTGCAGGGCACAAAGCACTTGTCTCCTTTATTTCCATCTCTGATCATTTGCTGCCATACAAATGATCTCGTTTCATCCTCACAACTCCTGCTGAGGTAGTGGGCAGTTATCATCCCCACTTTACAGATCAAGGAAGAAAACCGTCCAGGTGACTTGCCCACGGTAAGGGAAAGAACCTAGAACATCCAGGTCCTGGTCCAGCGCTCTTTTAACCCCATCCCATTGTCATGTATGGGTTCTAGAATGAACAGGTCAATGATGTGAGGTGGGTTCCAGGTATAAAGGGGAGGGACTATGAGGTGACATTCGGGAAGAGTGGAGAGGCTAGGGCAGAAGGCAGATGATTATTCCCTCACAAATAGGGGCTTTGGGGCAGCCATGTCCTACTTTGTGTCTCCACAGACTCGTCCAGGTCTTCTGCCTTCTGGTCAAGGTGAGAGGGGGGGCACCTGGAACTTCCCCTGAGAATTTGCTTTCTGGCTCTGGGGAGGTGGAGGTTCTGCTGGGCATTTTGGGGCTGGCCCTGGAGTCGATCCTCTTAGAAGAAAAGCCATTCCGAAAGTCCTTGCCAATCAATAACTGCCCACTTGCCCCCTCATTCATTCAACAAACACTTCTCCATCACCTACTCAGTGCTGGGGACTGGAGTATAGATATGAGTAACACCCCTTTCCCAATCTCTAGACAGTCTTTGTGGGTTGGTCTTAATTGCTTCTGTTCCTATGCCCATAGGAGCTCTGCCCCTGTGCCTTGCCCCTCAGGGCCTCCTTCTCAAAGAGACCAAGAATAACATTCCATCTCATTCTCTGCAGGTGGGGCTGCTTCTCCAGGCTCATCCTTTCGCCTCTATAGTCCTGTAGAGCCAGTGATGGTGGCCTCTGGTGGAGTAGGCCAGAAAGCTGAGCAGGTAGCACCTGCTGCCCAGGCCTGGGGCCCAGCCCTGGCAATGCCGGAAGCCAGGGGCTGCCCTGGGGGGGCTAGCTGGGAGATGCTGCGGAGGAAGGAGTACAGCCGATACTGCCACAAATTCCCCCATGTGAGGCAGCCGGAGAGCTTGGGCTGGCAGGACGGCTGCTCCAGAAGCAGAGGTCCCCACCTGGGTGGCCCCAGCAGGCCTGGGCCCCTGCTGCTGTGTGGGCTGTCACCAGGGGTTCTGCCGACACCTTCTGAAGCAGGGGGGAAGGAGCCCGGCTCCCAGCCTGACATCTGCATCCTTACCCTGGCTATGATGATCGCTGGCATCCCCACTGTGCCCGTCCCAGGCCTGCGGGAAGAGGACCTAATCCGTGCTGCTCAAGCTTTCATGATGGCCCATCCAGAGCCAGAGGGAGCTGGAGAGGGGACATGGTGGGAGCAGGCACGTGCCCACACGGCCTCTGGGCAGGTGCCGCTAGTGAGATCCAGGAGGGGCCAGCCTCCTGGCTCCTGCTTGTAGCTGGATGAAATAGCACGAGACACAGAGGGTGGCTTTTCCGTATGGTTCTTGGGCAGACAGGGTTGGGGGGCCTTTGGCAAGGAGGGCGATAGGGTGGGTGGTTGAGCCATTTTGACAAATTCCAGTCCTTCAGTAGGGACTTCCTGACCCCAGGAAGTTTCTCCAGATACCACTAAGACAGGAGATAGGTCTTGTCAGATAGATACGATTAAAATTATCTGAGGTAGGGGGCCTTGCTTGAAGAGTCAAGGCTTCTTTTTATTGTTTTGAGGACTTGATCAAAATTTCTTGTATAAAGTCCCAGGCAATGTGAACTCCCCTCTTGCCTTAAATTTCTCAGCATGTTGGAGGCAGGTCATAGGACCATAGGCAAACAAGGAAAATTAACACTTACTTGAACACCCACTAGTATGCCCACTCTTTAATCTTACTGACCCTGTGGCCCCATTTTTACAGATAATCAAATTGAAGTTTAGAAAGGTGACTTGCCCAAAGTCCCATAGCTAGTAAAAAGTAGAACCAGGCTCAAAAATCAGACACAGGGCCGGGCGCGGTGGCTCACGCCTGTAATCCTAGCACTCTGGGAGGCCGAGGCGGGCGGATTGTTTGAGCTCAGGAGTT